ATAATAAAACACCTAATAATAAAATCAAAATTCAGTAGTGTAGAAGAAATAAACAGCATATCCTCAGATGATCTTCTTGTTCGTAATTTCTTCTTAAATTAATTTTATCTTCATGAGGCGTAGCCTGCATGACACATTCTACGAAAGAAAACTTTGATGTAGGATTTGATACGGTAATTGTTTTTTCATATGATGAACCATTGTTATCATTCATATAATGCCGATTTAAAAAACGATATATTTTCATCATCGATGTTACATCATTGCACGCATAAGATAACTTAGCAGTGGATAATGGAAATTGTGACCAGTCACATACGGGCCATGTCTTGTCCATGTCGAGATGAAAACACTGATTCATCATCCACCGTAAACCAGCTATCTTGTCTAGATTTCGATTTCCTTCTGCGTTGTCATAATATTCATAAAATAAGTGTGATAATTCAATAACATTGCACGATTTTATACCATGTTCCAGTTATATCCAAAGATAATAAACGTCCAATATCATTAGAAAGATCGTGGCTAACTTTTATTGAATCGTTATTGAATACCATGATAATAAGTTTTATAGCTTCTTTTGGAGCTGCACGCTAAAATATTCAAATATTACGAAGATTACCACTGAATCAAGTCTACGATAAGGCTGCGCGATAAAAAAAGCTTATGGTCTTCATGCGCATCGGTTCAGTTTGCATGATTAATCGCGACTTTCAATAAAAACTCGCCGATTAATTACGACTTTTTAGTGATTCTTCGAATAAGGAATATAGCCTGCTAAGTTTAACGTAATATACAGATACTCACGATGGAATGAAATAACTTGTATAAATAAAATAAAACGATATAAAATTTAATTTTTTTGTTTCGACAGCTATTTGTAACAGCGCACAGTTTTCCGTATCCATTTTCATTTTTTGTGCATAAGGGATACTGGGCACACTTTCGGTATCGAACGTAATAATTTTGTTGATATGATACGTTCGGCTTCCTAAAAATCAGAAAAACTGTGACGGAATATAAAATTGCACAATCACTTGCAGATACTTACATCAAAGTCGGCTTTACCACTTTGCGTGGAAATATGGATAACTGCGTTAAAATTTTCCACTGAATCTACTCTGTAATCGTACACTTCCAAACTTTGCGTCTGCCTAAAAACATAAATCTTTCGTTCCAAAATAAAGAATATCTGACGTTCCTGACCGCCGCTCATTCTGACGGAGATGTTGTTTTTCAACTATTTTTCTAATAAACTTCGTCTGATGATCTAAATCCATTATCCGGTCCGACAATGAAGACATAAAATCTAAAAGTCATTTTCATTTTTATTCTATTGACGCAGTCGAGTCCGAGAATGAATACATAAAAATCAGCTAAAAGTCATTTTTATTTTTTAGTCTATTGTCGGAGTCGAGTCCGGCAATCAGGTCCGAGAATACAAGTTCAAAAACGAGCTATAAGCTAATGTTTTCTGCTTTTTTATTTTGAAGAGAGGCAAGTAATAACGAGGAAGAAAAACAAATTTAGAAAACTGATATGTTTTCAGAATAAGATGAGAAACAGAGATAATATCGAAAAAAACTTTTTCTTGACAGTTCAAGGATAGTTGTCAGTTTTTTCTTCGTTTCACTTGAATGTTTTCATTTTTGATAACGAATTTGACGGCTTCTGTAAAATAGAAACAAGGGAATCAATGGAACGTAATATAACAACATTTTCAACTAGAACCTTACTTTGTTCGGTGGTAACGTTGGACTTCGAGGTGTTGCTCTTGTTGGTTGTGGAGTTGCTGCTGTTGTTGGCTGTTGAGGCTCAACTGTGAATAACTTCGAATTTGGACTATCACTGAAACGTAGATAGAAAAGTTGCATTTTCCTAGAAACAAGGAAATGTTTTTTGGCTTACAGTTTATTCAAAACGAAAGCCACTGTTTCACTACTAATAAAATAATTTTTTTTAATTCCTTGTGCAACTGATTGATTGATATAGTTGAATTATTGTTTGCTAGTCGATAAACAAGTGCTTTTTGCACTAACAATGAAATTGTTTCACGTCGATCTAACAGTATCAGATCACCTAAAAAAGCAAAAGAATTCAAGTAGGAGTAGAAATTTCAGAAGTCTCTCAGAAACTTACGTGGCTCTGTTTTTTGTTTTTTTTTATCTTCACGGGGTTTGGGTGGTTGAATTATAACACGAAGCGAAACAATTCCATTTGTATCATGATCAAGACGATATGCTCTTGATGAATTTATTGTTTCATCATAATGTTTTCGTGGGAGTTCATTCGCAGCAATTCCTTAAAAAGTAGAGCAGAGATGCATTACATTGTAGCAGTTGGAGGAATCAGCTGACCATCTTGAACAAATTTCGTCAATTTTGCTTGAAATGTTTCTGGAACCGGTATAAAATTTGACCATTTTTTCTCTTGTATTGCTTCTCGTTCAATAAAATCAACAACGCCACCAAAAAAAAGGAAAAAAAGATCGTTTTAACGAATATTACCAGAAAAAACTGTTCAGCTTACCAATGGACTTAACGTCTTTGTGAAAAACGATTCTCAACATGACAAAACAAACTTAGAAAAAATTAGAATCTAGAAAACCAGACGGAAGAGCAGTAGAGAATATTGAATGAGTATAAAATTGCTACAAAATACATGATCAGATTTTTACTAAATCTAATATTTTGTTTGATTTTCAAGCTTTCGATCTGTTTCACACATCATCATCAGGAAAATGAATATGGGAAGAAAAGATGACTTATTATGTAGTCTGCAAATGTGAGTAAAAAACAAAGAAATTAAGAGAAACAGTTTTTGGACTAGACAATAGAGAAAGGAACATATGATTAATTATAAATGACGTTAAATATAAAGTAAAAATATTGTTTGTTTGTTTAAACTTTATTTTATAAATATTCGGTTGACGATCATCACTTCTAGTCTAAATCAAAAGACAATTAGCCGAAAACTATGTTCTATGAACACATAATTGATCATGATGAATTTGAGCAATCGAAACTAGTTTACATCAATTTGAGAGGTCGAAATTAATTTAAATATGGTTGAAATAAATTAGTCTAAATGAACTTGAGAGTAGAAATCAATTCGAAGCAAGACAAAGGACGAAATTATTTTAAACTCATTCGAAATAAATTAATTTGAATTAATTTATTTAAAACTAATTTAAATGAATATTTTTTCAAACTAATTGGAGCTAATTTTAGCCTAGAAATTAATTTAAATTAATTTTAACTACTGGAATTGATGTAAATTCATTTACTTCAAATGAATTTAAATTAATTTAGGCTTCTTAAATTGATATGAAGTCATTTTTCATCTTTTTTTGGGTAAGAAATTAGTTTGATTAATTTGAAATTATTTAAAAGTTCCAATGGGTAGCTAAGGAGCAACGAAAAGAAAGATGACTTAAATTATAAAATCAAGCGTGAATTTGTCAAATGGATGCTTCGTCTGTTGTTCACACGAAGAAAAGAGAAAACAGTCAGGTTTATCCCAAAATGAAGATTTACTCGTATTTTCTCTACTCTGAGCCGTGGAATAATGCGGCGGTGGATCTGAGCGGCCACCTAAGAAAGTTTATATTCAGTATCCCAGAACCGACAAGGCGCTCATATTGCTAAGGAACGAAAGAATTACAAGTTTTTTTCATTTGGCCCATTTTTCCATATACTTTTTCTTAGGTCTTTTTTTTCTCTACATATGAAGCATTTTGTGATTTACCAATCAGCTTCACGTCCGAAGGTCAGTGACAAAAGGCCAAGGTACGCTATTGCTGGGTGCAAATACATATTGTCCGTCATGTTTTTTTCGTTCTATGACTTGTATTTAGAGAAAAGCAACATAAAATAATATGGAATGCAGAAAAAGTTCAAAAATCGAAGGATATGTTAGATGCAGGCTCGCGCCTAGAAAATATTTTCAGCTTTTTTTTTCTTCTTATGATTGATATTTTGACATAAAAAATCTTGTAGATTTGATCACCGTAATTTTCAAGAAAGTCAAAATGCATTACCATGTCAGAGCGATCAGCTGATGCATAACAAATCAGCTGATCGCTTCCAGTAAGTCACCGACCAGACGTCCTTCTTACATTTAACTCTGTTTTTGGTTGTGGCAAGTATTGTATAATCAATGAATCGAAACAACAAAATACGATAAGATTGACGAAATAACACTAGTGATTTGTTTTACGATTATTCGAACGTGAAGAGCTCCACATTACATCGTTTACACAAGCATATCTTGTGCTTAGGTATACGACGGACCGGACAAATGTCCGATGTTTGACTCAAACATGTTCCATTCGGACAGGGTTTGATTCGGACGCTGTTTGACTCAAATAGTGTTTTACTCTGACACTACTCGAGTCGGACCTGTTCGAACCGAACATTCAAACACTGATCGACTTTTTTCAAATGCTATTTTCTCCCACTAATTTACAGCTTCTTTTTAGTCGTCTAAAACTGTAGGTGAATTGACGTGCTAAGCATTTTGTGCTCACCGTCACTATACAGTTTTATAGAGTCTAATTTCCTACTCATGTAACTAGAAACAAGCTTGAATGTGTCAAAAAAAATAATCTTGTTTAATATAAGAAATGAGTAAAATAGAAAGAGAAATAACAACCCTCTTCAGCTAATCAACAGTTCTACTCGAAAATCCTTTTCGGTTCTAATCTCATCCCTGTTCTGAACTTTACTGTTTCTCAGCATCTCTCACTCAAACTCTCCACGAAGAAATTTATACACTAAGCAGACGCTTAACAGAAATGAAAAAAGTCGAACAGTGTTTGAATGTTCTGTTCGAACATGTCCGAATCGGTTAATGTGAGAGTCAAACAGTGTTTGATTCATACACTGTTTTAGTCAAACTGTGATTGAATCAAACAGTGTCCGATTCGAACTTGCCCGAGTCGGTTGTTCGGTCGTCGTATACCTACTTGTGCTAGAAGAGATATCTCCAATTTTGCTAGGTGCCTATTATAAATCGCTATTAAACCGACGCCCCATTTCTAATAATTTATATAGATCAAATTCTAGTCAGTCGCTGGGAACATTGACAATCTCACAAACAACCGTTTTAGATGATATTAAAAGTTATATTATAAAATATAGTGGTATAACAATAATTTGGTTAATATTCTTCGGTATCCGTGTGTTTTACACAATTCAACAAAGAAAAGAAATTACACGACGAGTGTTAAGTTAGCTGATAACGATTGCGGCTAACTTCCCGAACTCCGCACACTTTTAATTACTTTCAAATTGAGTTTAGGCATGAACCCCTTATGGTATTTTGTCTTAATAGGCCCAAAGGGCAGTAATGCAGCACATATATATATATATATATATAGAAGCATCACCGCGTTATTGGTTAACGTATTATATACCTTTATGAGAAAGCCATGTATTTCCGTTTTGGATATTGTCTAACTCGTTGTAAGGTATTAATATCTATCGTGTTACACCGAGTTCCATTTTCCTATCTCATTGCAGCGAAATATAAAAGCATAATGCATTATAATGTATTAGATATTAACTCGTTACAATACGATACGCATTATTTAATGAGTTATAACGCTATAAAAGATTTTTCCAAATCTATGGCATTGAAATTAGATAAAACATCTAAGGTATTATAACGCATTATATTGAATTAGAAAGCTCAAACGTGTTATAATACATTAGAATCTAATGAGTATAAGACAGTAGACAAATCTAATTGCGTTGTAACGAGATAAAAAATTGAAACGTATTATAATGCTCTAAATTTATAGAATTGTAATGCAATGAAACTTTTTATCCAATTACAACGCCATAAATTCCTGAAAAATAATTTTGCAACGTTATAACACGACGGTCCGTCTATCTCGTTGTAATGAGATATATCTACAGCGTTGTAATACCATAATTTAAGAAAAAGCATGTTTTATAGCGTTATAACGCTATGAATAGGGGAAAAAAGATCCTGTGGGTATGGTACATCCAATGGGTATATTCTCGAGATCTTCAGAGAGCCCTCAGGGACTACTGAAGAATCTCCAAAAAATCATTGAGGGTTTATTGAAATATGAAGCTCTAACATAATATTCAATTTCCTGTCAACACTCTCTTTCGATCACCAAATTTCTATGTTTCCGAAAAGGTTCTCTTCGGAATTTTAGGGATTTTGGACATGTAGATTTGTCACTGAATATTTGATAATTGATTTTCTATGAAAATCCATTGTACCAAATTTATCCCAATATTTTCGAAAAGTCATCTGTAGATTTCATAAAGATTCTTTGACGACGTCGAGCATGGGTCCATTAGATGCATGATAGTCAGTTACCTATGAATTCACGTTGTTTGTGAACAATATTCCAAATTTAGAACCAGTAAAAGATTAGTAAATGTGATTTAATGAATTTATTTTATATTATTATTTTCTCTACTAATAGAGAAAAAATTTTGCTCTCCGCAATTGTAATTTTATTAAGCTACAATCATGTATTATAAAAAATATTTTACTTTAATAATTTAATAAGCCAAAGATTTTTAAACCTCTTTTTAAAAAATTTTAAATAAAATTTTAAAAAATTAACTTTTTTAAAATTCAAGCGATTTAAACAAATATTATTACTTTTGAATACCTATTAGACGACGAAAAAAATCATTTTATCTTTGTATTTTAAATGGATAGAATAAGTTCATTTGAGTTGTTATCTGATAAACTTCATCTGCAAATATTTTCATATTTCGATGTCCGTCACATACTCGAAGCGTTCTATGGTCTCAATTATCGGTTAGACCGTGTACTGATCAGTAGAATCGTTCAATAAACACAAAAACTAAACCTTTCGGCGTTAGTTCTGAAAAAGAGTGCGTTCTTTATGAATGTTGTGACTTTTAGTTCTTCCCTGCTTTTGAAATAATCTAGATCAAAACAGAAAGAGAATTTTTTGTATTATATACCACTAAGTAGCTTTAACCTTCATTATACGTCGTATTCGATGCTAATACAAAGTTCGAATTGTACGTGTTTCTCAAATGCAAAACATTTAAATTCGGATAGAACTTAAAATTTTGTGTTAACTACGGGATTATAACTATATTTTTGGGAACAGCTGTTCTCACTGAAATCATAAAAAAAAATCTTTGTCCGACTAAATGTTCTTATAGTGATGACAAGTTAGAAAAAAAGAACGTGTTTTATCATATGCGAAGAGAGAAAAGCGAGAAGAAAACAAATTCTTTTTTTCACAGTGAACCCAAATAGGGGTGGCACTTTACTATTACTTTACCTGTAACTAGTAGCGAACTTAGTTACTCGTTACTGGTAAAGCGGTAACTAATCTAATTATTTCGTCGAAAACCGAATCAGGTGATGTATTTTGCGAAAAAACAAGTGTTCGGCAAGTTTTGCAAAACGCATCACTTGATTCGGTTTTCTACGCTGATCACGAGTATGGGCTTGGTTTTGCAATAAAGTGTTGTCTTCATCGATAAAAACACAGAAGAAAGTTATATCATACTGTTCTTTCTTTTTTTTGGGAAAGGAAAGCGGGAAAGTTCCTTTCCCAAAAGAAAGAAAAGTCAATTTTTACTTTCCTTTTTTGGAAAAGAAAGAGAGAGTGTCACCCCTATTACCAGTAATGAGCAACTAATTTCGTCACTTCGTTACTTCCCTAGAAAGTAACGGTTTTTCGTTAGTAACGAAGTAACAAAGTAACGAAATTAGTTACCACCCTTGTACTAAAAATCGGCAATTAATCGTGAAAAATCATACGATTAATCGTGCGCTTAATCGCGATTAATTGCCGATTTTTTGGTGATTTTTAGGCGATTTTAGCGATTAATTGCAATTAAAAAATTGATGATTTTTTCCTAGGTACTAGGTTTGTACCCATCTTAGGTAATACATATTTTTTTCTGTTTTCTCATTGTTTATTACATATAATGATATGTGCGTCACACAGCAATGGTCTTAGCACCAGCTGACGTCGGATTCTTGCCGACGAGTCAGCTTTAAACATTGCCCACATACCAGCTGTTCAGTGGGCTTCTTGGTTTAAAGCTCTGAGGAACAATAGAGAAGACTCTTGACAACTCCGTTGTATTCTAAAATAAAAAGATGATCTGAATATAAGTGTATTTTTCGCTGAAATCATGTTCCTTATACACAAACTTTATTGCAAAAGAAAACGGTGAATAACAACAACCATTTAATCACTTAAAATCAACAATTAATCACAATTAATTGATGATTTTCGTGATTAATCGCGATGGTTGACAAAGTCATCGATTAATCGCGATGCACGAAAAAATTATCACTTAATCGCGATTAAATGACCATTTTTTCCCGAATTGCGACTGAGCATCGATTTTTTCAACCATCGCGATTAATCGACAAAAATGAAGCGATTTTCAGCACATGGGCAGTAACTAAGTAACTAACTTCGTTACTTTCCCTGGTAAAGTAATGCCGAGTAACTAGTAAAGTGCCACCTCTAAACACAAACGTATATATGTAGAACGAAAAAAGTGAAAAACTTAATTTTTAAACGTTCAGAAGCATTTTTGTTTAAAAGCAATATGATATTCGAAATCTACGAGAAAAACTGCATTGAATGATATATAGTTCGATCTGTTTCACAAAAACAAAAATTTCGTCCAAAATTTTGGGCAAAACACCTGAGGGGAACCTGAGGCAAAAATGTTGAGGGAAACGTTTTGTCTGCCTTCGAGCTCAAACATAGGTGAGAAAGGTTTCTCGACATGCTTGATTCGAATATCAGTCTCCTCAGGGTGAAATCCTTGCGGATAAAATATGCAGGTAGTTTTCACATGAAAACGTCAAGCTATTGCAGTCATCTAAGATCGTTTTAAATTCCTTCAATGGAAGCGAAAAGCTTGTGTTTTACTGACTTTAAGATGTATGAAGCTGTCAGTATCTTCTAAGTCGATATAATCGACAACTATTCGATGAAAATAGTATTAATCATTCTTTTCTTTTAATATTACCAGTGTCTTTCTTTATGACTCTAATAAAATTTAATCGAAATAACCTTGAATTTCTCTTCAAGATTTGATAAAATACTTCATAAAATCTGTATAGATCTATGGTTTTTACAGATGTATAGAATTTATTACTAACTAAGCTTTTATTGTGCTTAGAAGGTGTGTAAATACGAAAAATTTCTTCTTTCTCACTTTCTTGCTTGGTATCAATTTTCTTTTTTTCTTGATCGTCTCTTTGATTACCATGACTTTCTGGCTTTCCCTTCGGGTCACGATAATCAGAGATAATGTGTGTTCAAACTTTACTTATTCGGTGAAGAAATCACATTAATTTTATATAGAAAATGAAATAAAGTAGAAATGAAACATCAAAATCAGATAAAAATAAAATTTCATTTTTGTTTTCTATAACTCAGAAAGTTGACAACATTCGTAAATCATGTAATTATTTTAACACAAAAAAATATATTATCAAACGGGATATGAGTTAAAAAAATATTTCTGTAGTCGACAAAATAGTTCTTCTCACGATTTGTGCATGT